CGATTTTCAATCAAAGACTTTTTGCTGGGGAAAAAATGTGAATTTATACATTTATGAAAATCAAGCATTTCATAAAAACTAGAAAATCAACTAGTGAATCATAAAAGTCTGAAAATAACTTAAACATATTCGATAATATATAAATTCGATTTTGCCATTCCTAGAATTTCGAAAAAAATCACAGTGTACTGATAATGAAATATAAAAACATGTCATCTATTATTTAACAAATAAATTTATTTTTTCAATATATTTAGTAAACATAAATAAAACAATGTCACTGATAAAAAGAAAAAAGTCAATGATTTTATCAGTTTTAAACTGTGTGGTTTTTGCAAACTTAATTGACTGTCATAAAAATATGTAAATACATCAAATTCAAAATAAACAAAAAGTAATGAAAGCTATTTTAAATCTCATGCCATGCGTTGAAGAACTGAAATATGTTATAACAAATGTCACAGTAATGAGAGTCTCATTATAAACATATAGTAGAAAATCATATTGAGCTTGAAAATCCCAATAAACTAACTAAACTACATGATGAATAAATGAACGAAAATTAAACACAATAAGACGAGTATAAAATATTTCAGTAATATATAGAATTCCATACATTAATAAAACAAAATCAAATTGTAAAATAGCAGGATGTTTTGGACTTAATCTAGTTGGAATATATTTCTTTGCTTTTATACAATAAAACAAACAAATCAATGTTTGAATAAGCTACAGGCGACTAAATGTAATACAAATTTCAGGAAGAAAACCGTCGGAATATTTCGACATTTGAAACCATTGAGAAAACACTTGAACATTAGGGTAAACTTGATTTCAATCCATATTATGATAGACGAAAATAAGACAATAAAAAGTGTGAAAAATAATAAATGAACTAGAAAACAAATGGGAAAAAGAACCTATCGACAATATTCTGAAATCTCCAATCTATTCAAGTGACAAAATTTTTGAAAAACATCGATCTAAGACATCTGACTCAAATTCAAACACAAGTTTTTCAAATCTCATGTTAGTAGCAGGCATGAGTAAGAGTGTGTGTATGGATGTGACTTTTTTTCTCTCTAATACTCCCCACCACATAGGGGCATGAGAAAAGCACGTAATGCTTCTTGTACTTTTATTATTTCCCTATGCGACACTCGCTCTCCTGTTCTGAATGACGAGTTATGTCTTTGACGGTAACTCAAACAAATCTGCCCTTAAAGCTGACGCATGAAAAGAATTCACTGTGTATGAGTGATTCTTGTCTTACGTGCCATGGTTTCGACTTGGAATGGTTGATTCTCTTTACAAATATAAAATTATTTTAAAAAAATTCAATTAATATTCAGCTCTTGTATCTATCTCCTTTTATAACTTCGATTACTGCATATTGTAATTGTGATATATGATTCTGTTGATTATCTGGTTTTCAAAATATAAATTAAAACTCGAAACGATAGGATGATGAAATAAGAGAGATAATGTTTTAATAAGCATATGTATACTCATATATAGAATGAAAGGTATTTAAATGCAATATACGATGGGAAAAAAACATTACCGCTTCCATTCTGTTCAGATTCATCTGTTATACGTCCTCACTGACGATGATGCATTGATGAACACGGTCATTGGAAACTGCATCTGTATTTATAGAAAAAAAAATGTTCCCTATCGTGGACATTTGTTAGACATAGATGACGAGAGAAATTATGAGAAAAGTGTTTGTTTACTATCGGTATGATGGTACAGGAAGGAAAAAAGAAGAATTAGCATGAGCTGGATAGGAATTTACTCACGTCTTGTCAGAGAACGAAAGGATGAATGATAAGAATGGAAGAATCCTCGCATCTCTTGATAAACTGCAACACATAATTCTTTCTCGTAACTTTAACTTATTACTCATTTCGTGTCATCATATCACATAATTGTGACGAAAATTCCACTACTAATGCCCATCTTGTTTATTACGACGATAAAATAAGATAACGAGACAACTTTTCCTATATAAATAATGGATTCATACATTCATCAATTCATATAGTGTCGTATTTGACTACTTCAATTTCGATCGTTTTGTTTTCAAACAACACACCCCACTTCATACAGAGCAAGTAAAGTCGGGTATGAATTGTTGTTGTTCTTTGAACATCGTTAATACTATCCGAATACTTAGTGAAGTTACTTCATTTTATAATTTTATTGCTATTGCTGGTGAATTGCTAAGAGGAAAATTAGATAAAAACAACAAGAAATAAAATTAATGAATTCATGAACCAAGTAGAAAACTATGTCGTATATTAATTTGGTATTGTTCTATGAGATAGTTAACAATGAAGTTATCTTTTATCTGTCTTTCTAAAAAAATATCGACTTTTGTTATCTTTGGCGCCTTAGACAATATTCTATGGAAACAAGATTTCCCATCCTCATTCCATGATGTTTTCAGACATTTTATTTTATTTTGTTTTGATGTGTTCCATTAAACAAAAACTGTTATTATTAGATACCAGCCCCTATCGGTATCACATTTTGGACAATGAGAGATAGAATTAAATTAAAAATGAAACCATCATCGAGACAAGGCAAAAGATTTTAGTAAAATAAATCAACTTTTGTTTATATGTCAAAATTTATCAGCATTGAATAAAAAAGCGTTTCTTTATTTAAATTGAATAACAAAAAGGAGACACCAATCAAAAAAATGAAAATATTGAAGAAAAAATAGTAATCATGATATATTGTATGAGAATCTGAATTAATAGTTGTTTGAAGTATAATAACCATAAAGAAAATAGTAGATACGACAGTTAAATTAGAATTTTAGAGTATGGGTGTGAGTGTATAATCAAAGAATCCTGACACCCACACCCTCATGTTTACAAAATGAACATAATAAATGTGCAATTAAAACAATACAATCAGGTTTTACAGATTGATACCAATTTGTTAAAAACTGAGTACAAGCTTCAGCACGACATAATTTATTAGCGCATGTACCGTCGATTTGAGTACGTGATCGTTATAACAGATATAGGATGTGGGTGTGGGTTGGATAAAAATAAGAGAACCACGACACCCACCCGAACCCCATGCCCACACCTAACACCAACACCCCACATCCACACTCTCTCTATTTTTAACCTCATCTGTGACATAGTTGACGACTGGGGCTCTGTTGAATCAAAGTCTTAACAATCTCTTTTTCTTGATATGTCTGAACCACTGAACCCTTGAATTGAACAGTACTAGAAATTCAAATTTGGATGGATGGTCCAAACCTTTAGTCTTAGGAGATATCTTGAGGGTGGAGTAAGGGTGAGAACAGCAGTGACGATCGGTTTCAACCTTGCTGAAGGGTCCCATTAGGTGACATAATTCATTTCATCATAACCCTAAGTACTACGACAAAAAACAAATGTTCAACTCCTAGTTAGAGAACTAGCAGAGAACCGATATTAAATTGAACAATGCCACCTGATGAGACCCTTGAGCAATGTCGAAACTGGTCGTGACTGCTGACATAGATTATTATGATCTAGATCAGATCTTTCCTTATAAAAATTTACCACGAATTACAATGACGATTATTGCTACCAACTTCATCGTGTATACTCAAGTTTGGATAGATAAATGAAGACACAATCTTTATACAGAACTATTTCTTTATGTGAAATTGTTGTTTTTTGCTTCGTTATCTTACATACAATTCTTATTCCCATGCAGCAATTTAACTCAGCGGTATACACAGGTGTCTGGTTGCTTATCAATTTTGTTGACCTTTTGTCATCGCTCACCTACCATTTCATACGTACCAGAATTTGTTTTTGCTACCTGCTTTATAATGGCCTATAGGCAGACAATTTAGATAATTTATCAGAATCATACATTATTCAACGTGAACTTCAAACAGTATTTAGCGCAAAGAAAAAAGACTATGATTCTTCCATGTAGCATTTATTTCTAAGAATACTTCGTTTAAGGCCATCCTCCTCTTCCAAAATCGATTTTCGTTATAGTGCATGGAATTTTTACTAGACATGCACCAAACCCAAATTCAAACCCAAACGGTTTGAAGGTTTGGGTTTGGCCCGACTGAGTTTGAGTTTGGGTTTGAGTTTGAGTAATGAGTTTGAGTTTGGGTTTGGGTTTGAGTAATGAGTTTGGGTTTGGGTTTGAGTATTGAGTTTGGATTTTAGTTTGGGTTTGGGTTTGATTGAGAATATTAATTTGGCTGAAATAGTCTACGTTATTATATGGAGAGGATTGTCTATGTTTGATATATCTTTAAAACAAAGTATAAAAGAAACGATTCGTTTATCTTTGAAAAATGGTAGGTCTTCATTCATTTATTTACACTTATTTTTCAAAATAAATAATTTATATCTAGCTTTACTGATTTACCTTCCTTTATCTTCTTTATGAGCGATGCCAAAGAATCGGTTCTAATGGAAGCCTCAATTTTAGTTCAAAAGTTGTTAGTATTACTTCATTTGTTCTTAACGCATTTTGTTTCGTTTTTCATCAGGACAAAAAGAAAATGATTAGCTAATTTTGATAGATTATATGGAAAGATGCAGGAACGTGTTTTTGAATCTAAAAAATGGATAGTATAATGGTCGATTAAAAGCTAGGTTCTTCTCAGATACATATATTCATTGAGAGAGTAATATTTCAGATGTTGCTTTGATGAAAAGGATGAGCATTTTCTGATTTGTGTTACAAACTTTGCTTGTTTTATTTAGCTTTCCATGTTAATTGGAGAGGGTAAATGTTAAGTACAAATATACGAAATATCTTCTTCAATTACACTGTAAACATTTGATTGAGTAGGTTGTGGGTATGGCAGAGTGAGTGTTGATATCATTCTAACTCCTAAACATACCCACAACCATACCCTATATTTTGAAAACTCATTTATATGATCAAAATTGGAAATAATTGAATTTGAAGACATATAAAATTTTCCCAACTATGTTTCCATGGTGCTTTTGTAGAACTCACATCTATTTTCGAAGAAAATTAGTGAGTGTAAGTTTTAAGTTGAGGTTTGGCGGCTTCCTCCCCCCTTATAGACATCCCTCTTACAGATACTTAGCAACGGAGAAAGAGAATGTTACAGACAGTCCTCATTACAGACAAGGCAGCATTACAGACCTTAGCAACCGCGTACAAAAGGTTTCAGATCTTATACTATACTTTAATGCTTTCAAAATGATTGGAAAAAAAAACTATTTTTCATTTTACAAGTGATGCATTATTTAACAAGTTTGAAGAATATATATGTGAGTTTCAAATTTCAGCTCTAAAGGAGCTGCGGTGAAAAGTTTTTTTACAGCAAACATTTTAATGCTTTAAATCGAAGAACTATTTTAAAGCAACCCGTCAATTCGTAATCTACTTTTTTCAATGATGTTATATAAACCATTTCATTGAAACCGGTAAATATCAATCTAATCGCTGTTTCATCTATTTGAATACCGTAGTAACTTGCCATACACATTGATTTGATCATTCAGTATGCTTTCAAACATATTATTCACATCCTCAACTAACTTTTACATGCCTTTTTCAATTTTCAATATTGCCAAATTCTCATCAGTTTATACATTTCTTTGCTCTTTTCATTGTTTTCGCCAGAACAATAATACTGTATCCTCTGATGATTCATACCGACTATAAGACAACTTTTTGCATTACTAGCCTGATTCCGCAGTCCTCAGAACACTTAGAGTCTACATGCTACTCAAATGATATATTTGCTATGATTACATCTGCACATTTTTCTCGTTGTCAAAGTAATCTACGCAATAATCTTTTATTTAATCTTACTCTATGCTACCATAGAAACATATCTAATGAGGCATGGTTTTACATCATATGCTTGCTGGAAGCCATGATGATACAAACCTTTAGGATAGCCTTTTATTTGTCGACATATTGGCTACTATAGAGTTTAGGAAGGGCATGAAGTCGCAAACCCTAACTCATAACTTACACTGACTATTTTCTATCGAAGTGTGTGTGAGTTATACAGAATATAAATAGTAATGCCTTTCTACGTTTTTGTACATTTTGCCATGAAACATTTTTATTCGAACTTTACATATAAAAGGCTCATGTATTCTACTGTGACACTTCAGTACTACACGCGAAAAATAAAATTTGAAGCTCAGATTCAATATCTAAGCTTAAACTTCTTTGATTTAATTCAAAATTGGTACCCAAACCCAAACTCATACTCAATATCCGAACCCAAACTCAATACCCAAACCCAAACTCAAACCCAAACTCATTCAAACCAAACCCACCAAACTCAAACGGTTTGGTTTTGACTCGTGCCTAATTTTTACCAAACTTTCTAGGAATGTTTGGCTCATGATTGTACATTTATAAAAAAAAATTCCAGGGTTCTAAACCTTACCGTTCGGAAGATCTCAAGGAACCAATGTGCGAAATAAGGCTTTTACGTGAACAAGGAATTTTTTAATACAATTCAAGCTACAGTGCTCCGGGTGGTCTCATTTTAGAAACAACCCCTTGCTGCTTTAGATGAGGGAAAGGGTTTTTTTAAGTTTTTATTTTATTCCATTTTCACAACTCTCGAAATCTAAAGGTTCTAAAAACCCTAGTCAAGGTTTTCTGGAAAACCTTTGGTTTTTTCGATAATAAGGGTCAGATACGAATTCAATTTCCCTCATCTGGAAAAGGATTCATGAATCTATCAAATAAAATAGATCACAGGTCGATAGAATGAACTATAGTGAAAAAATTTGTTCGGAGTTTCTCACGTTCTCCAAAACCAGTTTCGAGAAAAACGCAAAAACGTTTTTTCTGCATTTTATCGACCTATCGTTGGACAATAACAAGATAAAAGGCGATATTGTATATCAATCACTGAAACTAATCAAGATAGATAGGCCTACACCTCTAGCACACTATACAGCTGACAGAGCGTAGTAATATCTATCGTTTCTTTTGATTTTTACCTAATGTCGCCTATGAATCTTATTATATGGACTTTGAGAAACTTTTTCTAGTTCTCTTTGAAATCTTTCGAAACTGAAAGTTTTTTTAGCGAATATTTAAAGTAGAGACCTTAAAGCAACATATCTGTATAGTTTTCTCAAAAATCACTTTTTTGACGAAAAACGATTGTTTGGATGGTGGCCTTCAGCAATAACGAAACACGTCGTACTTAGCTTAGAATTCATCTATTTCAATCTCATTCACCCTCACCTTCTGACTAATTGTTCGATATGATATTTCTATTTTTATAAAAAGAGAAATTTCGAATTGTCACAGAACAACGTGAAGAAAAAGAAAGTTAAACTCGTGAGTACTCTCTTTAGGAAAACCACCATGACCAGAAGGATTTTTTTTTCGGCGCAGATTCATTCATTGGTCGCTGCAAATATTTTTCCATCTCGGTTTTTGTCGATGGCCTCTTCGGTGGCCGATTCAAACAGTTTCTAGCAAAAAATAAAGTGAGGTTCGTTCGAAAACTTTTCGACTTCCATGATTGTTTTAATGAATATTTTTGAATTGCTTGAATTAAATTCTTTCTTGACATTTGGTAATCATTTGCTGTTTCCTCATTATTAACCGTTGTCACGGATACAGCATCAACTACATCGAATTTTAATTGATTGCGTACAGCATCTTCATTTTCTGTCCACCATTCACCTAGTGGCTCATCATCTTCACAACGTGTAATTACTAATAAACAGGGTACTTTCTTCTCACAAAGCTCATGGGCAATGGCTTGATAATGTTGATTAGTTGCCTCAGATTGTCGCCCTTTTCGAATACAGAATAATATTAAATGAATACCATCTTTGCAGTATAAACTTTCGAATTTATTCTCAAGCATTTTCAATGCCTCGTCAGATGGTACGGTGCCCTCTAAACTTTCACCTAGGCCAACTGTATCAACCATTCTCAAGTTAATATTCGGGTAACCTATCGGTGTACCGCGAACTGATTCACATTTGTCAGTACAACCGACTGCACCCGATGATGTGCGCAGATGGATGTTGTCAAAAACCATGTTTATCACCGCTGTTTTACCTATAATTCGAAAAAATGCGTTTACTTCTTTTAACATCCCGAATTAGATAACGATGAATGAACCTGCTCCAGTTTCGCCAGCCAGAATGACATTATATGAAGGGTTTGTTGTTACAACTCGGCTTTGTGACACATGTTTAACTAGTGCTGTACTCATTCAGTTACTCTTAGTAAGACGCGAAATGATGACACTAAGTATCACATGTTGGTTAAATAGAATTGAAATGACATCATTGTGATGTAGGATCGAGAAAGTAATGATAAGATAAGAGCTAAGAGAAACTAGGAAAATATTCTTCGAAGAGGGTGATGTAAGCAAATAAGTGCTTTGTTTTTTTTCCAACAAAAGTTTTCATAATGAAATTACTTTAATACTATAAAAAGAAGACGACATTTAAACTTTTTTCATCTGAGGTTGTATGAAGATAATAAATATGGCATCTGCGTCCGATTATGCACCATCATCACCGATTTATCATTGCAACGTCATTGTTTTTGGTGAATCCGGTGTCGGTAAAAGTTCGCTTATCAATCAGATATTTGACAAAATCGTAGTGAAGGCCAGTAATCAAGCATTAGGTTGTACGACAGAGAATGCAAGGATATCGAGCGTTTTAACAGGTTATTCTGGTATTTCATGTGATATTTATGATACAGTTGGTCTATCTGAAAGTGCAGATGGAAGTGTACCGACAGAAACGGCTTTTGTTCAACTAATTAAACTTGCTTATGCCATTCCAAATGGAATCAATTTATTGATTTGTTGTCATAACAAAGGACGTATAGCAAACGACCGATTCAAAGCAAATTATCGAATATTTAAACAAGAATTATGTGGAAATCGAATACCATGTTTATTAGTCATTACAAATTGTGATGGCGATGAACCTTTGGATGAATGGTGGATTGAAAACGAAGAAGTTGTTCGTAAGAGGTTACTTTTCGATTTTATTGATTGTGTTTGTGTATCGACTTTAAAAACGAAAAAAAACAAACCCAATGTTGCTCTCCGCGATTATCAAGTCTCGAGAGACAATTTAATTAGAGCTATTATAGCACGTGCACTTCCCAAACCTATAAAAATCGATTCATGGTCACGTAAAGTGATTATTGCTGCACGAGAATTTTTTAACACATTTTCCACATGGTTTTCATGGTTTGGTGTGCGAAAGGCAACATTACGGCCAGAACTTAAACAAATGTTTATCAGTCTGAATTATTCGGAAGAAAAAGCGGAACAAGCAACCGAGAAACTCTTGAGAGAATTGGCCGACAAAGATTTACAGGCCCCTTATCGTGACATAGAGGCTTGATTCGGTTTTATTAGCCTTGTACATTACCATTCTGATAAGTGAGTTTTATGTTGCGATTCATGTGTTGTTTCCTAAGAATGAAATGCTTTTTATTCATTGGATTGAAACGAATAGTACAACACAATCTATGTTTATCAATGTAGAATCTTTTCTATTTTTACGAATAAACAGAAAAATTATCATTGATTGTGTTTTATATTTTATTTCAGTTTTTTATGTATTTATCTGTATTAAGAGTTCAAAAAAGAAAAATGTTTTCCCCATTCAGATAGAATTGAGAGCTTAGGGTACTACATAACAACTATCTAATTATTCGATATAATAGTGGGGCCTCGGGAAGGGAGCCTTCAATTGTCTGAATTCATTTACTCTGAGTTCATGTATCGGTATCTACCTCTCCTTTTCTCTAGAAGGTGGAGCTTGAAGGTCTTTAGCTTTCTGAATTCATGTATAGGCAACTAACTGTCGTTTCTTTCGGAGCAGTAGATATTGACAATTGAATTCAGTTACACTGAATTCAGAAAGCTAAAGACCCTCTGCACCAAGTTCCACCTTTCCAGAAGAGGAGAGGCTGATATCTGTACATGAATTCAGAGTATATAAATTCAAAATAGCTAAAGACCTCTCTGCTAAAGCCCCATACCCTTTCTGTTTTTGGAGAAGTATCTACCTATAGATGAATTCAGTATAAATGAGTTCAGAATAGCTAAAGACCTCGCAAGCCGCAGCCTCATATAGAATATAGACGTGTTATATAGCCTTCCTAGCCTCTCCCTTTAGGTAGCTAAAGTGAGAGCTGTTTTTTGCTTTTTGAATTCAGCTTGAATTAAAAAAGAACATAAACTCTCACTGTCGAGAAGATATAGAATAATATATGAACAAGAAATATTTGGTGGTGTGGGTGTGGGTGTAGGTGTGGGTGTGGATGAGTGTGTTGGTGCGTTTTCTTTCCACATCGACAGTTATCCCCACACCCACGACCACCTACGCCCACACCCACACCTACACCCACATTCACACCCGCCCACACCCACGCCCACATCCACATCCACATCCAAACTCACCCACACCCACCTTCATTAGTTTACTTTCTATAGTTGCTCAACTGGACCTTTCATGCCCTATGTCACCTTCCAGAGTGAATGAAGAGTTTCCATCACTGTTTTCTTGAAAAGCTTTAGAGTTCAATAGAGCTGTAAGATGTTGTATTGAAAGACAATGTTTTTATTTGAAATCAGTAAGACCGTAAGAAAGACATGAAGCAGTCTTCGACGGTCTCAAAAAACAAATTTTGACCTGAACACCCTCTGAAATTCGATCTGGATTCGGTGAAAAATATTTTATTCCATACAGAGTGTTTTTCTTGTAGACACCTGTAAGAAGGTCCTCGACATTCAAAGCCTGCTCTGTAGATGTATTTGAAAAGTGCTCCGATTCGGTGAAACTTTTGTGCACATGATTTTTACAGGAGCCAGTAGTTGCAGTTTGTACGCGTGTTGTAGCGAGATCTTTTATCTAAACATGCAGTTCGATGTGATTTTTCTGATCACACAATTTGTAACTTTAAACTTGATGTCCGACGAATTGCTTTTGTCTCAATTACCGTACTTGTCAGTGAGGGTGTGGGTGTGGGTGTGGGTGTGGGTGTGGGTGTGACTGTGTGGATTTTTGTTTTCATAACTAACACCCATCCGCAGCCCACACCCATAGCCACACCCTCGGGTTACAATCGATTAAAAGATTGAAATTGATTACGAATTAAAACCCGGTTTTTCTTGCCATAATTCGGAATAATCGATTAAATCGATTGTTTTTTCAATGGATTTGGCGATTTTAATCGATTTTAATCCGATTTTTCTATAGAATATTGAATTTTTCGTGGAAATTGGTGGCTTTTACACCCTTAATAAAAAAAATCAGGATTTTGCTACATATTTTTTTCACTGGGATATATAGAAGAATGCGCAAAACTGATAGATGACAACGGTTGATTTTTATACTGCTTGACATTAAATCGTGAGGAGAAAACGAGAAGCGATATATATGCATATATAAAAAAGTAGACGAAAAGAAGGTAATAGGAAAAGAAACATATACAGCTGACGGGTCATCATTCATGATATATCTCGAATATATTGAATTAAGATATTCACTATTTTACAGGTGATGATCTTTGCGTCTATTATCAATGAAACTGTACAGCAAAGAATACAAAAACAATATAAATTTTACAATAAAACAACGCCCAAATATTTTACACTATATCAAGCAGTGCTAAGATCTAAGAAAAATACATCTACAAATGTGCGCATTTCTTTTTGAACCTTGTTCATTTTCCTTTGCATTTTAATATCGACGAATCTCAATATAACTAAGATAATAGTAGCTATAAGAAGCAATAAAAAATATATTAACAAGTCGGGGAGCCCTGGTTGAATGGGGTACGTCTCTGACTAGAATCCAGAGCGTATGAGGTTCGATTACTCCTCCTCGAACAAAGCACACTGTTTAATCATATTGTATAAGCTTACGGGCTATTGTCTTACTTTACAAGCAACATGTCTACACATAACGTATGTTATCTCGGTAGAATGTATGTGCACGTTGGAAGGTCATGTTTCAATTCTTCGTTGAATAGCCACATAAGACATGCATTATATTCCGCTCTTATCTTTCTCTGCTCCGCTTATGCTTGCTTTTCTCTCTTATGTGTAACCTGCTAATTGTAAAAGCTACACTGTCCCTTTAGGACCGACATGGTCGTGGGGTTTTCATTGCTAATAATAAAAAAAAAGTATATTAACAAGTTCCCGAGCAATTGCAATAGTTTTGTTATTAGTGGAGTGCGTTCGTAAAGATCGAATTGCAGTTGTTTAGGAGAATCTATAGCTCTTGCCTTGTATTCAGGTTCTAAGCGACTTGTCAACGCTTTTATTGAGTATTGAAAATTTAACATTTTTTTTGTAAGTTCCATGAAGTTTGGGCATGATCGCTAGCGTGTTGTTTGTACATTCTGATGATCTTAATTGAATATTTGAACATCTGATAGATGCTTCACATGATAATCGTAAAATGGGTGGTTCACTAATCGTTATGATAACAATTGAATTGTTCAAATGCAAAACGACTTTGCAGTACTTAACTTGATCGAGGTTATAGAGAACCCATATGGGCATGGCCAGCTAACGGTCACCCTCGTTGTCGAAAGTTCGAAGTCGAAAACTTTGAACACAAAAGGTATTACTCGAAAGACAATAGTAAACAGTTTACAAAACAGATATAATTAATTACCCAGCACTTCAACTCTCAGTGATATTGATAGAACTTCTTCATATAGTGACTGTGTAAAAAATATTTATTTTTAGTCGTTACCAATTGAATGTAAATAAAAAATGGTCAAATGAACACTCGTTTACTAAATCGATATTAATCAANAATTTGTTGCAACATCCGATTTTATGGTATAAGAACAACAATAGACTGAATTAATTATGACTAAATATTTTTCGGTGAAACTATACTAGGTACCATAGATCCAAGAAAATTTGCCAAGAAAATTCGTTGGATCAATCAAATAAAATTATATAATTTTGATATCACTGATAGAATATATCAAAAATGAGGAGACTGTTTGTTTTGTGAAGAAAGGACCCTTTTCTTGTTACATGGTTTATCAATCGATGCCAATAAAAAAAAAAATTTGTAAAAATTTGCGTTTCAACGCATTTTTTTTCTAGTTCACATGTTTTCGCTAGACTTTAAACGCAGCTTTTAAAACGCATTGAAACGCATCATTTAGTAATAGAAACGGATATGTATCGGATAAAACACGTTTCTAAAAATGTATTTGAATGCGTTTAAATGGCATATTATTGTTACAAAAGAACGTTTATGAGCGATTCCATGTGAATCATTTTGAACGTATCCTATTTACAGATAATTTTCTAGTAATGATGGATGTATTTATCTAATCTATGTATATCTACTCCTTTAGAAGTTAGCAAGAATTGTACTTGTGTTTCTTCCTCTAAAAGTCATTTTTTTACATATTGTTCGGTAAATGTGTAAAAAAAATGACTTTTAGAGGAAGAAACACAAGTACAATTCTTGATAACTTCTAAAGGAGTAGATATACATAGATTAGATAAATATATCCACCATTACTAAAAAATAATCTGTAAATAGGATACTTTCAATATCATTAAGAGAAGATCACTCAAACATGAACTCTTATTAGATTGCAACAATTAGTCAGATCTAACTGGAATTTGTATGGTAATTTTCACTTCTCGAAAGGATAGATATGGTTAACTAGGGACAAACGAAAAGAAGGATATGTTTCGAGCAAAATAAATGGAAGAAGGGTATTGTTAGAGTATAGTAAACGAAAGAAGAATATTGTTGCAGTAAAATAAGCGAACGGAGAATATGGTTAGAGCTTAAAAAAGCGAAAAGTAGTGTATGATTAGGGTAAAATAAGCAAGAAATACAGTAAGGTCGGATCGAAGAAAATCTTCGTATGCAGAAAAAAGATGGAAAAAATAATCTTGTAAATATCTAATTCGAATTAAAGGTACAGAATCTGGTGATTATATACACAAATGGACCAATACTAACACAGTGCTCTTATTGAGGAAAATTTATAAATTTTTTACTTTTTTACATGTGATTCCAAAATTGCTTTTGAATAAAACAGAATTATATTTGAAAAATATATGTTATTATCTATGTTTCGAGACGTAAGTAAAGTTAGCACCAGATTCGAGTATTTCTTGTCCGGATTCGCTTTCTTACCTGTGTTAACTCTCTAAGCACTTGTGTTAGGTGCCACATTTTACGCTCTATCTAATGGTACTACTCTCAAGGTGGGTCATCGGGGAAAAACCACCACTTCTCTTCCAAATCCTCATAAATTCGCTGTGTAACAATAACGAATATGATGTATTTCTTGTCTGGATTCGCTCTATGAGTTGTGTTGGGTCTCTCATGGAGTGTGTTGG